ATGTTCAGCTATTTTAACAACATTTATTATAAAATATTCGTAATTTGCAATTTTATTTTTTGTTATAACCAAATCACATTCAGTATGAACATAATTAAGAAAGAGTTAAGTCTCTCCAGGAAGAATTGAATTTTTAGTTTGTATGTTATTTTAAGGTTTTGGTAAAATGAGAATACTTTGATTAAGTTTGGAATATTTTATCTTATTTGATCTTATAAATCTAACAAAGTTTGGATATATTCTTGTTATTTATAAATCTTCAAATTTTTCTTATTTACATAAAGCCTCAATATCACTTTCAAACCAACCAATTAAAGTTAGTAAATTCTATGTAAATGTACATCTTAAACTAACCCCATCAACTAATATATAAACTTAATCTTAAGATGCTTCTTATAAAAATGAAGCAAATGTGATATTTTAGTTTATAAATTTGTTAGTAATTATAAAACATAAATTTATTGGAGTTAAAAGTTCATTCTTATTCTTTATGTAATTTATATCAAACATTTAATAATATTTAGCTTCACCAGTTTCAAAAAACTTTTTCACTAAGTTACTATGATGTTATACTAAATATTTTGGTAACAAATCATTGAACTAATGTTCTTCTGTTATTGATTTTCCTCCAAAAGTATTAAAAAACTTATTAGAAAATTGTTATATTTTCAGAGTTTCCATATCATCTTTAACTTCTAAAATCAAATAATGAACATTTTAAGAATTTATGTTAAAATTTTTTATTTACTAAAATTGTAATTTTTATGCTTCAAAAAAGTCTGAATTTCTAAAAAAATTGATTGCCTTTTTGTAATCACATAAAACTTCACCATAAAAAAAGCACACAATTCTATGTAATTTAAAACAAGGTTTATGTTTATATGCCAATGCTAACTATTTTTCTAACTCATATAAATTTTAGCACAGATTATATACTTTATTATGCAAAACACTAATTTAATCATTAATCATTGTTGTTTATACAATCTTTTAATAGAAATCCAATTTTTTTTCAATAAGATCAAATATAAGTTTTTCTTTTTAAGACATAATAATGTCAAGTTCTATATTTTATTCAATATAATCTGAAATAAATGATTTTTAGGCTGCATGAAGGGAAGTACCCAAAGATGCATTTATCTTACTTTTAGCTTAATTAAAAATAACTATTTTCTGATATTAGTATTAAAAGTGATTAAATATATTGAATATATTCTAAATTTACTAAAAATATAAATTAAAAAATAATTAACATTTAATAAATAACATGTGGTGTGTTCGTTCAATGACTTAAACTAAATGTGTAATTGATTGATCAAAATAATATAAAGTAAACAAAGATTCGAGCAACAACATTAATATTATTATAAAATTAATTATGATATGATGAATGAATATCATTTTTTCTTACTCCAATAATTATATTTATATTTTTAAATTTGTCATAAAGAATAGAGTAAGTAACATAAATATGTATGTGCTTATTGTTTTTTGATACATAATAAAATACAGCTCAAAAACTTTAGCAACAAATTCTTTCTAATGAATTTAATAAACCTGCCCCAAGTTTATTATTTTACATAATGATAAAATAGAATAGCTCAAAAAGGTTTATGTAGGATAAATACTGTTAAGGATATGAGATACATATTGGGACTTAGAATAATAAGTAATTATAATATACTTAGAAATTATGGGATCAGTCCTGAAAATAAGAATTTAAAACTAATAAATCCAATTTTACTTGAGATTTTCAAAATTCTTTGATTCTAAAGTAATAAGCAATGGATAAAGAGTAATAATAAATTGTAATATTATAGATATATGCTTTGAAATAAATGAATTCGCTTTAAGTATTGTGATATAGTAAGTTAGAAGGATGTGTTTTTCTTTTGATATAAAATCTAAATTAATGATTTTCAAATACAAATTCTTATTTATTAATTAAAATAAATAAATCTAATTCCTTAAAGCTTAGCATTAAGTTTATTAGAAATAAATTTAATTAATACTCTTATAACGTTATCTAAACCTAAAAATCCTCACTATAATGTGATATTTAATAATCTTTTTTTTAAATTTTAAGGTGAAGGGAACATTTCTTTAAAAAATAGTCTAAAAAATTATAGAATAGAGAAATTTGAGTGAGATAGAATATTGAATTAAATGATTACAATTGAATAATTGAGGATAGTTTTGCTTTGAAGACTAAAATAAATTTGAAATCTCCAAAAAACAATTTTAATATGATAAATAATACATCTGGTTATTGATTGCTTTGATCTAAGAATGAGAATAATTGAGATAGAAGAAATGATTAGGGGAGTAGAAATTTTGGATTAATTTGATAAAGAGAATGTATTAATATTTTTTGTTAATTTTAAATGAAAGCATAATATTTAATAAAGAGAATATTAATCATGTGATTTAGTTGATATTAAATGTATAGGATAATATTTAAAACATGAAGAGTTAAGATAGGATGATAATGAAATGAAAAATTAATATTTTAAAATTATTTAACAATTACATTCATTATTACCTATGAAATTTTTCACAAATCTTAAAATTCTCCAAATTCGATTTGATCTGAACTATCCTTATCTACATATCTCTTATAAAACTTTCTATATCAATAGTTAACTCAAATTCAGATTTAATAATTTATATTAGTTTCTCTGTAATCATCCAGAGATTAATAAAAAATTGATTTCATCATCTTATAATAATTAGTTTTGAGTAATTCTTTAATTTCTCAACCATTTCTAATAATTTAATCTACTAATAGTTCTTATCAATACATATCACATCCTCATGTCGATTCAAACAAACCATTCTTTATCAGTTTTTATTATATTTATATTAATCTTAGAGAATAAACAATATTTTACATAAATTAATGAAATTTATCGTCATGTCTAAGCTTTAAAATAAGGATATTCAGATCCTAAAATGCCTAAGACATTTAAAATGAAATAAGCATTAAAAGGAAAAATTAAAGTATTCTAATTTATTCATGATCAAGTATTAGACTATAATATATAAAAAAATCATTAAAATAAAATCCAAGCACTTGAAAATAACATTTAAGAAATCTCTACAAAAACTTATAAAAATATTAAAAGAATTAAATCTAATTCAAGATTGCATAGTGTTGCATCATCTATTAAAGAAAATTCAAGAATTATTAAAAGAGAATGAGAAGAAAAAACTTCTCATCCTTTGGAATTTGAATGGAAGTATATTTTCTATTTTTGTTATTTTGAGAGAAAAAAAAGACCAGATTTAGATT